TATATATACATTTACCTATAATTATTTGAAACTTTGGCCACGCTTATATTCAACACTGTAACACTACATGACAGAAAATATGGAAAAGCATAGTAGGTCCCCTTTAACCTTCTAAATGATTTTTTTTAAATTATTAAACTTGTCATATTAATTCAAAAGCCCTCCCTAAATATATATTACTTAGTGACATTCTAAAAATATCTAATACATTACATAAGCGTCACATTGTCCCTTTGCTATCTGAGCTATCGAGACGTGCAATCAGTCTTCTTAACTGTCTGTTTTACCTGCATGTAAATATGGTGTAAGTTTTAGTATCATGCAAACCATCACAAGTTTGTTGTCTAATCCTTGTCTAAGAACTTTTAAAGACTTATAATTGGTCCCATACATGTTTCCACTGTTTTTACTCACATGCTGCGTAGCAAGACAAACAAATTATTCTCAATCCAATTAAATACATAATCCCATCTGACCTTTTTCTTCTTGGAGCCACCATGGGCCTGGGACTGGAGGAAGTCGATGAGCTTGGTCTGCTGAGTGATGGTCCCCTCCATTTTCACCTTCTCATGGGAGTACACAGCCTGCAGGTGGAGCTAAGTGAACATCACTACTGCCATGAATTTCTCCTCAAGTACTTTACTTCACACAGAGAGGGTGACAGAGGGACAGAGAGAAGGGGAGTATATGCTAGGGGAGAAAACAGAGTGCGGGGGGCGTGTTTCTGTTTATGTGTCTTTCACTATTAAAACAAAGTGACAGAACAGTGAGGGAGAAACAAGATGACAAATGACAGAAAATCCAGCAGGTCTACATGTGCGTGCCCGATAATGTTTAAGTTGTTTTTTTTCTGTGGCTATGTGTATGTGTGTGTATGTGTGTGTAGCAGCACCTGGATGTTCTCCAGCTGGTATTCCAGGTCAGTCCTTTCAGTCTTCAGCAAGTCAGTCTGGTCCAGAGCGTCCTGCAGCCCCTGGGTCAGACGGAAGATGTGCGTCTTCTGGGCATCCATCTGCTGCTGCAGTTTCTCTTGCTGTGGATGTAAAACAGCTGTTACATCATCATCTAGATACTGTGACTTTGCGACTTGTGCTTCTTACAAATGATTGCTTCTGGTGATGGCACCAGTTAAACTTTTCAGCTTGGATTGACCTTTGTTACGGCTATGACTTCACAAACTGAAAATCATGTTCATTTTTCTATTCTGGTAATTCATTTGGAGCAGACATGCACCAAGAAAACTTTTAAACATCAAGAAAACAATGGAAATCAATGGGATGATACAGAATACCTCCTCCAGCAGCCTCTGCTTCAGATCCCTCTCACTCTCCAGCTTTTGCTGCAAACTGCGGGCGTTCATCTCCAGCATGGCATGCTTCTTCTCCAGATCATTCAACTGAGAAGAGAAAGCAGGATGAGTTTGTTGTAACATCTGTTAACCAGACAAAATACTGTACAGTAAAATACTTATTCACCAGTGTGGAAATGCTTACAGTGTCGGCAAGGCTCTCAGCTTTGAGTTTCTGGTCTTTAAGGGCCTGCTGCAGGGCCAGGATTTCAGCTTTGTGCTCCTTAACTGCCTGCTCCACAGCCTGGCGAGACTCTGAGCTGCGCTGCTCTGAACGAAGCCTAGAACATACAGCAAACTATTGTTTACACTATTTATTTTGAAGTGCATGCTTTTGTAGTTCAGCTATCTTTTTTGTAACTGATGTACAGTTGTTATTTGAACCAAATACAGTAAAATAAACCCATTTTCATGTGCCAGTGTGTGTGTGTGTGTGTGTTTGTGTGGGTACACACATAACAACAATAACATGAAACAGATGTATTGCATTTTGATTTCCAGCAAAGGCTATCTTGTGATTCTTGTCCCTCACTAGGCATTTCATCATGTCAACATTACCACAAGTACATTAGTTAAATTGAGTACATAATAAATAGTGACATTCTCACACATGTGACATGATAACATCATCATTTATAAAAAAATATCAACACTGATATCACATTACAATCATTTTAAGTGTTGCAAATGTATGCATGTGTGTATGTGGCCTAATTCATGGCAATATATGGATGTGTATGTCCATAATTTTGTGAGTACGTGTGTCTGTGTGAATGCACATGCATGTAGCCTTTATGAGTATGCGTGTATACTTATCTATGTGTGTCCTCTATCCACATGTACGTGTTCGTGTGTGTGCACAAGTGCATTATCAGACATCAGGAATCATTTCAGCTGGTGTTTGACCTTTTCATTAATGTTTTCAGATCAGTTTGCGTTTTAATTTCACTGCTCCACCCTGCAGTTGCCACTTCCTGATCCCCTGGTGACTCTTCTATTGGTATTGTTTTCTTAACACATGGACTAAGTCCAGCATGGGTAAGATTGTTTACACACTTAAAAAGAAAACTTGATAAAGCTTTCATAACCGAGCTACTTGTACTCTCTCAGAATCATATATACTGTATACACACACATATGTATAAGCATGTACAGTTCTCTGTGTTTCAAATTTGCTTGCTGGGTACCCAGTTCTCATCACACGCCCTGCCTACACCAGCTCAGAAAATAATTTCATATATTTCCCAGAATACCTTTTGACAAACCCTAGAGAATATTCCTAAACCTGTTGCATTCAGTGTGTGTAGGCGGAGGGAGCTGATCCAATACTGATAGCAACAGCAATATTCAGAGCAAAAAAAGAAAAAGTTATGTAGAAAAAGAAACTTATAACCCTTTCTCAAAGTGTTAATGTCTTGCGGTTAAATTATATTGTGGACCACTGAAACCATTATGAGTGGAAAAAGTCTTTCACCTCTGACGTCTATTGAGTTTCAGTGGCATGACAAAAAAAAACAAAAAATATGTGCTGTTAACATGTCTGTTTGTCCAGTAATCTTCAGTAACAAAAATGCACAACCCTAGATGGATGTAGAATTGCAAGGCAAACTTTACACAAATTTCAATGTGGTAAATACATGTCCACACTCTTGTAATGATACAGTGTAGGTATGATTGTAACCTGTTCTGTTTCTCTGTGTCCAGCAGTCTCTGGATGTCCCTGGTCCTCCTCTCAGCCTGGTTCTTTTCCTCCTCCAGTGTTGCCCTCCAGGCTTCCCACTGTCTCTCCTTCTCCAGCAGCTCATCGTTCAGGGTCTCCAGCTCCAGAACCTGCTCCTCCAGCATGGTGCACGTGGTCTTCAGTGTCTCCAGGTTCTAGTACAAAACAGGATTTAGATGAGAAATACCTTTGATACCAAGGGCACAACTCAATAGCTCAAGTTGTCATTCATACTCAGTAATAAGGCAATTGTATTAAGGAGAGATAAAGGGAGAAATGCAGTTCAACAGCTTTGAAAGTCCTGACATTGAGGATGTCTGTTGTCAAAAGATTATCACATGGCCTAAAAAGCTACTACAGCTCATTCACTGCTTTAAGAAATGAACATTTCTCTCCACATTGGCCTTATTATATAATAGGGAGAGTTAACCGGTGTAAGAATTTTTGCTGATTATGAACAATGATCTTGTGGTAGAGATTTATATTCTCTCTGATGGGTTTGGGAAATCCCTTCATGGACTGCCTCTTCCCCTTAGGACAGTTGGAAGTTCTTTGGGTGGCAGTGACAAAATGCTATTTGCCACCCAGCTTGGGATTTTGTCACCTGGCCATGGCACAATAGTAGAAGTTTTCAGATCCTTTGTAAGGATACTAAGTAAAAAAAGCAATATTGCTACTAAGATAAAGATGCAGTATAACAATTTAAAAATACATTTACTACAGGGAGTACTTTCATCAAAATGTACTTGTAGTGTTTTAAAAGAGAAGTACTTATTGCAGGGAAATGGACATGTCAGTACATTGTTATATTTTATACCAATCAGCCAAAACATTAAAACCACTGACAGGTGAAGTAAACAACATTTATCATCTTGTTACAATGCAGTGTTCTGCTGGGAGGACAATGCGTCATGCTACACTGCAAAAACTGCTCAGGAATGGCCCAAGGAATGTGACAAAGAGCTCAAGGCCTTTACCTGGCCTCCAAATTCCCCAGATCCAAATCCAATCGAGCATCCTTGGGACAGACACCACAGGGCTTCCCTGACTTCCTGTGTCCATACCTTAACATGTCAGAGCTATGTCCAATCCGTAGAGGCCCCACCATGGATGGGCAGTATGTCTGGGGTACTGGCATGTCTCACCGATGCTCAGTCAAATGGGAACTGTGGAATTTGGAGGCCAGGTCAATGCCTTGAGATCTTTGTCACGTTCCTCGAGTCGTTCCTGAGCAGTTTTTGCAGTGCGGCATGGCACATTGTCCTGCTATGGAGGCCACTGCCATCTGGAAGTGTTGTTGTTGTTGCCATAATGGGGGGTTTGCTTGGTCTGCAATGGTGTTTGGTTGGATGGAGCATGTCAAGTAGGATCCACATATATGCCAGGACCCAAAGTTTCCCAGCAGAACATTGCATTGTATGTAAGATGATCAATGTTGTTCATGTTACTTATCAGTGGTTTTAATGTTTTGGCTGATCGGTGTATATTATAGTGTCTAATTATTATCAGTGTGGCATTGCCATGTAGGCAGAATTTTAGTGTTGTAGCTAGTTGTCAATGAGCTAATTTTGGCTATGTTATTTTCTGTTGAGTAGTTAAACTTCACCTTGAAACTGATCATATGTTTTGCATGTAATATCTATTTGTCAAACTTGCCTGTTAACTTCTTACCATAGCTGTGAAAAAATGTAGTGGAATAAAAAGTGTAGTACTGAGTGTAATGGAGTAAAGGAAGCACTCATGTAAACTTCAAGTACCTTAAAATTGTACTAATGTTACATTCTACCTTTGTCACCTTATGGCTTTCAGCTCTTTAATGCTGCCTACTAAGAGGCTGTGATGAAGGGATCACTATTAGCAGTAACAATGCAAGTAAGACCCTGGATAGCTAGGAGAGTTTTCACATGAGTAATCAGCATCAAATGACATCACACAAACACATAACATCTTTCTACCACCAGAACCTGTTGGTCACAGGCCATCGGGAGAAAGGAGAGTGTGTTTAAAAGTTATCTTAACAGTAACTTCTTTGCTGCATGTCAGGCATAAAATTCATGTCAACCATAGCACCATGAAAGAGCCTCATAACTAAAATAAATCCCAGTCCCAGGCACAGGGGCTTTTGAAGAGCATTTGATGGTAGCACAAGAGCACCAGCATTTCACACCAAAACAAATGGGCGCGTCGGCCACAGCTCTGTGGCTGCACTTCCCGATTACTACTGCACAGACTCTGACTTCAAACGATGTCACCAGTGTAAGATGGTAGCACCTGTATCCATGATATTTTGGCTTCATTTTTGTACAGTGTGAATGGAGACGCAGCGTCCATCTTTATTTATAGTCATTAGTTGTGAAAAACAGAAACAGCCCCTGAGCATACAATGGGACAAACAACGGAATAAAATAACCCTTTTGGCAAATAATGAGGTAGGAACACCAGGCAAGGAAGAGGATTTACATCTTGTCTATTATTTTGTTGGGTGTTTTTTATAGGACAGAGTGATCTTGGGTACATTAGTAACATATTCAGGTCGGTAAGGAGCTATTTCTTTGATTTGCTGATTGACCTAAATCCATGTATTTTTAGCTTGTTAGTTATCCTGCTAATGCTAGCTACCTAAAACACAAAATAAAATATGCTTTGGGAAGCCAAAGTGTAAGGAAGGTCACCCACAGCTGAACGCTTCAAACTTCACTCTGCCATCTAGCTTTGACTATGCTGTGTGGGAGGTCATTCTCTTTATAAACACAAGGATGGCCAACAGTTTCAAAGGGAAGAGCTCACATGCACATGTGGCCAGCCCAGCTACAAAAACAAAGAGCAGAGAGGCTCAAATTATAACACAAATACAAGGAGCATTACGTCATTCTCTGCTCAGGATGCCATTACTCCACTATATCTTTAAATAGCAAATACTTTGCTGCTATATTAATGTTCAGAATATCATATATAGAACCTTGAAATAATAACTCACAAACTGTAATTACAACATCATCAGTACTCATGCGGAGTTATTTACATGACAGGTTTGGACACAAAACGTTTTGTTATTCACAGGCCTACACAAAGTGTTGTGTTTTATGTCTTACAACGCACTCCTTTAGACAAAGCATTGGGAGACAAATATAGCCTGTGCTGGTGCTGCAGCAACATCACGGCCCTCTGAAGTCCAACGCTTCCACAGCTGACACGACCTGGGAGTGATGGGGATGACACATCCCTCCCACACACCACCCCATCCCTCGTCTATGACTTCCATCGCTGGTTACACAACCAGCAGGACCGAGAGCGCTACTGGACACCCACACACATATCCTCCCACAGGGGCAGCACACATCACACAGCCTCCTCGCTCGCGCGCTCTCTCGCTGCATCCAGAATACAGCATATAACAATACTAAAATATTCCCTGGGTTTCTGCTGCCTGATTTACACTTAACACTGTCAGAGCTTGGAAAGATGTCTAGGTCACCTGTCAAAGGTACTGTGGAGATATCACATAATGTGGGTAAGTGGAAACCTGGTGTCTGACTGACTGGCTGTGAGTTGGAAGTGGGCAGGGGGAAGGGACCTGAACTACAGGAAGCAGTACAACTGTCTGAGACGACAGAAAACTGTGGGTTTCCTTTTCTTTTTCTGAAAAATGCCCAACTAATGAGAGCTGATATTTTGTGACAATTTCATGCAGATATTTGAAGCTTACTAGACCACAGTGGTTAGCTCAATGGAAAGCAGTGTGACTAAAAAACTGGGTTCAAATGTCAGGTGTTTGATTGTTTGTGTCATTACTTCTTGACAGACTGGAGGCCATCTGAGGTGTTATAGCTAATGAATAGTTGGAAGACTACAGTGTTTCCATGTTTAATTTTGAGCCATGTTAGGGTGTAAACCCCTCTGAAACAGCTCTCAAATCTATATAAATCTGATGGGTAAAAATATAAATTAAAATAATAGCAGTACTGGTAGGAGCAATGCGTGAAAACCCAATTTTATATTTTGAAATTTACATCCATGTACTTGATAGCAGCCTTCTTCACGGCATTTGTTGGCACATTTCTGTGTTTCTTGGTGCATTTCCGCCACCTGTAGTGACACCTGAGTGGCATCAAAAGGTGCCAAAAGGTCCATCCATCTCTAGGCATTTTCAATTTGGGGAAAAAAAAAAAAAAAAAAAAACTGAAAATTTATTAACGCCCAAAATAAGAAAAATCTTAAAAATATCGCAAAAAAGTTTTCATGCCTCACTGAGGTGGAAAATCTGGTGTATCGATAAACAGTGAATGCAACAAGGTGCAACTAAAATAGATTCATTGAATAAATGATGATGTACCATTATTGCATAGGTCACTGCTGGCTCTCATCACCTCTGGATGGCTTTTAACATGCTTATGTATTCACAGGGCTGTTACCAGAACTCTTAATATTAGATTTTCAATTATTCACATGACATTAGTGGATGGAAAGCACATTAATTCACATTTTCTTTTGCAAAATTTCTGAAAATCTAGTTAAAATTTGCAATACATTTGGATGGAAACCCAACTATTGGCAGGAATGTGTACCACGTCACCTGCATACTTGTGCATGAGAACTAACAAAATAGGGATCCACATGTAAAAACACTGTCATCATATCATATTGCCAACCATATCGCTACAGGTGGTTAAAAACTCAACAAGAGAACTTTAACTACAGTACAGGGATGAAGAACAATTAAACAAACTACATTTTGTTCACTATTAATGGAGTCTGACAAGATGACTGGCTTATGACTGACCAAGAGAGAGAAAAGTATCAGCTGAAATAATCAATACAACACACCAATTTTGGGTAAGGGAGCATTTCCTGCCCACCTGACATGCCTTTCTTCGGACTATTGAAGGAAACCCACATGAGCAGGGAAAGAACATACAAACACAAACATGCACGCGTGCACACACAGCAGCCCGGTACCTGTTTCTGGTTGTTAAGGTGCATTTCGCGGTCGGCCACCTCTCGACGCAGCCTGTCCACATCCTGGCTGAGGTGCAGCCGGTCCTCTCTCTCATCAGAAGCCTCATCCAGCTGCTTGGACAGGTAGAAGTTCTGGCGGTTCAGCTCGGCATTCTCCTGAGTCAGTGTGGTCAGCTGTTCCTCCAAATCTGTGATCACCTGCAGGAAGTTAGCAGGATACTCAGGCCGCCAGCTTAAAGAGAGGAAAATATACAGAGCACCCACTCTGCACCCAAAATAAATCAACCAAGTAAAAAGGTTTATTTAAAGAATTAAAACAGATATTATTAATTTGACATCAGTGAAACATTGGTTTTAATGAAGTGTATGTATACTATGTATTCAAGTTACAACATACAGCATTCAGGTTTCTAAGCCTTAACACAGTTGACATATAGACTGCGTAAAGGGGTCTGGGAAAGGCACCCTTACTGTATTGTGATGTACACTCAGTGTATGCAGTAAATGTACATTAATTTTGCAATTTATACATATAAAAGTATCTTGCTTACATTGTGCATATACATAACATTGTGCATATTATTACTCATCCACACAAAAACTTGACCAAACACCCCACACAGTCTAAACTCTACTGCTGCATTATTACATGATGCAGATATCTAGGTTAGTGATATAATGCAGTAATCATTTTAGCATGATTTCTAGGCTGCTTGTTTAACCCAGGCAGCAAATCAGAGCAAGGAGCAGGCTAATCATTTCATCAGCACCAGTCTGTTCCCTTAATCAGCCATGACTACAGTGCAAGCTGTAGGGGAATGAGGGTTAAAGGCTGGTGAGGCTGCCTGTAAGAGCGCCTTATTCTCAGCTCTCATGGGAACACGTGTACCACGCAGAACTTCCAGGTGGCTGGGGGAAAAGAGGCAAAGCTTTTAAGTCCATAAATTAGCTGTCTGTTCTGCACTGACTCAGTGTTTCTGCTCCCCCGAGGCAGGGGACTGACAGCAGCAACTAAATACTTGAGGCGGGGCGAAGAAGTCAACACTGAAATGGATACGACTTGCAGACCTGACGTAAATCACATCCGGAACTGTGCATCCTCAACACTGCTGAATACAAACTGCTCAATACTAATTTGTGAAGGCTGTGAGTGTTCAGCAAATGAAAGGCCCAGTTAAAAAGGCAGTAAATCAGTCCCACAATTTCCTTGACAATATGAACGTAACATTTACTGTGCGCTGGTGGTACAAAATACAGAGGAACATCCGCTTTTTCTATGAAACAGACTGAGCAGCAGAGATGCTGTGGAGCGTGAATCCACCTGAAGTTGGTTTACTCACAGTTTTTATATGTAATTACTTTTTAGTGAAATCACATATGGGTGACTGATATAGATAAAACTGCAATATATACAGATTTATACAACAGTTAGTTCCAACAAAGCAATTGGACCAGATGAATTCCACGAGTGCTGATGTCGAGTACAACCTCACTAAGACTTTTAACTGTGCATGTACCACTCAGTTTTACAGGTGTTTTAAAACCATTACTTAGCCTTCTTAATGGTTGTTGAAAGAAACCTTGCACCACAAAAATGAGCATGTTCCCACAAATAACATTTCAACTTAATTACAAATGGTCATCAGAAGAGGACGAGGAGAAGTATAGAAGCGTTGATACTTCACTGCAAACCCCTAGGTGTGTTCCAACATGCTGTCTGATTAAGCTGTTCACTCATATGAATCACACATGCCAGCACGGCAACTGTCAACAGACATTTCACTGGTTGCACAAAGTAGCAGCAACTATACAAAGTAGCTGGCTTGAGGTAACATGTGGACCTACGCAAAGTAGCAAGCTAGTGTGTAGGAATGTTTGTGGCAACAGTCTCGTCCAAGTCCAGTTGCAGAACTATTTATGCTGATGACACCAAATAAATTATCAAATAAACAAACAATTTATAACTTGTTGTCACTCATTACTATTAACTAATAAATGGTGTTTGTAGAATTGATGTATAAAAGCAATATCACACTCAAGGCCATGCTGAAGTACTGAGTGATTTGGTTGTAGAAGATACTCGAAGATACACCGAAGATAATCACAGCAGCACTCCCTTGAGTGTGATATTGCAGGTAATTCGATTGACAAAATATTTATAAATTAAATAACCGGGTGAAAATGTCTTTTGGCAGTCTGAAAGGAATATCCACTGACTTAAAACATGTCCACAATGGTCTAATACAACCAATAATATTGAAAGGTTAGCTATTTCAGTAGAAACAGTATAATAAAATCTATTACAACTGACAAATGTCCATAGTCCCACAATATACGTTGTCATATTGCTAAACTAAATGTTATCTATGTGAAGATATTATCTTAGCAAGAAAAATGGGTGCTTATAAAAAAGAGCATCACTTTCAAATGCCACCATTATTACACTGTCAAAAATAACCTTTGATCCATTTTTTCCCAGTCTGAAGAGAGTATATAATGCCACCTAATATTCACTATGTATATTTATAGTTAACATAGATACAAAAAGAGACATTCACAACTGAACGAGGCTAACAATCTGAGGCTACAGTGCTCCTATATGATGAAACAAACCTCATAATACAAAATAATTGACACAACAAACAACATACTGAAAGTGTAAGTATTCTTACAGTCTTACCAGTAGTGTGGCTAAAAATAAAACATATGCTGTCAGCAAGTCTTATTGCAGTCTGCAGCTGATTATGGGATGTCTCATGTGCAAAGTTGACATTTTGGCTTGAAGATAGCACAAGAGGAAAGCTCATGGTATGTCCAAAATGGAAAGATTTCAACCTTCAAGGGGCAGGAATGTGCTCAGTATATTTCAGGAAATTGGCACTTCCATGTTCTTGATTTTCTGTCTGTACAAATTGAAAAAAACTTGACTAATGAATGAATAACTAAAACTGAAACTGTTAAGGGGTGGCAAAATTAATTAAAGACAATTTTACCTGTACTACAGTGGTAAAGATATTTTGCTCCGATCTAAAGTGTTCAACAGACAGACTAACGAATAGAACAACATCACAATGCTCAGCAGGACAAAAAATAGAGTGGCATTTCAAGCTCTGCTTGTTGCAGAATTTGGCTGTGTTTGCCTGAACATTGGCCAGCTGAATCTATGGACAGTGCTTTCTGAACAGTTTGCGAGTGGGAGGATCTCAGAAGTAGGGCAACGGAATAAAGGAAGACCATGATGGTCTTGGTGTTAATTCAAGGTAAATTAATTTGAAGGAACTCAAATCCCTTAAATATGACATCATCATTTTCTCAAGGTTAGTGGGACACCAGGGCTCCACAGTAACAGCACCCAATGTTGTCCAACTAAATAATAACATAATAAAATAATAGCACTAAAAATGGCCTAGGGGACAAGAAAACTGGAAGACTTCCAATGTGCCTGAAATGTACTTGTGCAACTGGCAAATAAAGTTACTTGAGCTTGAACTTGGGAAACCTTTGGGATTATAATATGCTTTCAAGCTGTAGATGGCAACTTTTATAAAAATAACTTGTCATATTTGCTAAAACTGACATTACACCCACACAGCAGGGCATGATATAAATAGACAATCTGTGAACAAAATCATGGTCCTCTGCCTTCTTATAGTGCTTCTAATGGCATTTGCTAGAATCCACTATGGCTGAACGAAAACAACCGATCAGAGCTGAGAGGTCTCTGGCTGTGGCTCAGAGGTAGAGCGGGAGGTCCACCAATCTGAAGATCAGTGGTTTGATCCCCAGCTCCTCCAGTCTGCATGTTGAAGTATCCTTGAGCAAGATACAGTACTGAACCCCAAATTGCTCCCGATGATGCTTCCATCAGTGTGTCAGTGTGTGTTAATACCTGAATAGCAGATGGCACCTTGTACGGTAGCCTCGGCAACCAGTGTATGAATGTGTGTGTGAATGGGTGAATGTGACTCATAGTGTAAAAAAAAGCGCTTTGAGTGGTCGAATGACTAGAAAGGGGCTATACAAATGCAGGTCCATTTACCATCATGTCAATCACTACTCGTGTACTGCAGTCAACCTCTCAAACTAGGCAACACTGTTCAAATATCAATCAAGATTTGTGACTGGACCGCCATGTTGAAAACAGTCAGGCCCAAACAAAGCACCGCCCACCCGCACATTTTCTCATTTTACAGCTAAAAAGTACACGAAAATATTTTTCTGAGAACATTTGAAGTAAGAAATACACAGCAGTACAGCAGTCAGAGACTCCTCGGCTCTGATTGGCTGTTTTCATTCAACCACTTAAGATTCTGCTATTAGAGGCACTACGAGGAGGAAGGACTTGATTTTTTTCACAGACTATGTGTTTAATGCATTACTGTGTGGATGTAGTGACAGTTTCAGCAAATATGACAAAAAGTTATCTTGATAAAAGTTATCTTAACTGCAGCTTTAACATCATTGTCTGTAAAATAAACATACTTAAAAGTACTTTCGACTGAACACAATAAAAAATGGATCTAGTTGAACAAAAAGGCGGCTACTTTTGAGTGCTAATTTCTTGAAGCATCATTAGTACGCTGACCACATTATCAGAGGCAAATACTATCTCTGCAGAAATGGAAAAGAAAATAAACAGGACACATTTAAAACGTGTGGACAGTGAGGTGCTGATGTTGTCAGCTAACTAAACCACAGTGTTTTCAGGTTAAATCAGATACGTGCCACCGTGAAGCATCGCAAAACAAAAAATAAAAAATAAAGAAGAAGGCGCCAAACAAACAAACAACCATGATGACAGGATGGCAGCCATTACCTTTCTCTTACTGTTCCTACAGGACCTGTTTTGATAATGGTGACTCACTTGGTTGTTCATATGCACAATGGCATCATTGAAACAAATAATTTAATGAGAATTAATAACACTCGTGTAAAAATTGGTGTGTATTTGGAATTCTCATTTTGGACAGATTTGCAATGTTTGGGTCGGCTCTGAAAACATTAGCATTGAGCCCTGATCAAACTGTTCTTCAACTGAGATGAGTTTGTGTGTTTACAGTCGCAGGGAGTCACTTCATGATTAATAGAAGAAGAAGAGAAATATATATTTCTAAATGAAGCTTGATTTAGTCAAGAGTGACAGAAGCACATGTGAACTGAAATAGTCTGTCTACTTTAGGTTGTTGGTAATGTGTGTTGATGTGTGAATTTGTGTGATGGTGTTCAATGCCAGAAGAGAGGGCTATTCCTGGAAGGAGTGAAAAAGAAAAAAAAAGGAGTGAGCAGCTTACCGCACAGCTGTCTCTCAGAGCATCAAACTTGCGTTGTATCTCATCTCTGTGTGCCTAGCAGGTATGACAAAAGAGACAGAGGGACATATTTCACTGCCTGAATTATATAACCTCAAAGGAGACGTCACCTTCAGCACTCCTCCTCTTTCTCTCTCTCTCACTCTGAGCACAGTGATCTCCTCCTCTGCCTCTGCAGTGGTCTCCTCCAGCTCAGTCTTGGCCTGCTGTAGTTGGCTCTCTAGTGCGTGGCGAGCTGCCTGCAGATTGCTGATCTGAGATTCGCGCTCCTGCAGCGAGAGGGTCAGATCTGTCACCTGACGCTTAATCTCCAGCTTCTCTTCCTCATGTTGCAGCCCAATCTGCAAAGGGAGACAGATAAGGGCCATCCAGGGTGAAGGAGGAGAAAGTGACTAACCCTAGGCACAGACACTGACACTTCACCTGGATTCACCTTGCCACCTTGAGCTTTTTTCTGCCCGGTACTACAAAATTAAGATCAGACATCTGCACCGAGTCAAAAAAGTTATTGATCAATACCAGTGGCCCAAAAACTCTTCAGTCGTTGAGATTTCTTGCCTATAAAACTCACTTTCTAAAGTATTTAAGGATCACTACACTGTCCACAAGACACTACTAGATCACACCGGGATGTCACATGTCACATTAATGTATTTTACATCAAACATTCTCTTTTTTACCATTAATCTCGTGGCTAGAGCCTATCTATAATCATTTTACAACTGCTGTATATGTTTCACCTGCTCCACATGGGGTCATGATGCACTATAATTATTTACTCAACATACTGTATATTCAGAAAAGCAATTATACATAGGTGTGTTTCCACTATTTGGAGCCAGATTGGCACAGATGGAAGAGGTCGCGTGCTCAATCTTATCTATTTAATGTTTAAAAGTTAAGTTACGCATAGACAAACAAATACATTGTGCAGATTCTCTGTATTGGTCAATAGAACATATTTGGTACTGAAAAAGGATTAGGGACAGGAGTGACAGATTGGGATGGGATGGACAGGACAGTAAGAAATACATAGGGAAAAAAGAAAATGGAAAGACTGTTTAACCTGCATGTCAAACTCTGGTCGGAAAGCCTATATCCAACAATCTACCAACAATCCCGCCTCACAGCTCAGCTTTCTGCTCCATCTTTCTGCAGTATCTCCTCACCTCTCGGAGCCTAGTTTCCTGCTCCAATACACGACTCTTATTGCTTTGCTCCTGCTGAGTCATTTTCTCGAGATGCTCCTCCAGTTTGGCATTCTGGGCCTCCAACTTTCCAGCCTGAGACTCCAAGTAGAACTTCTGTTGGCGAAGCTCTGAAATCATCTCCTCCTGGGCTTTCCTGCCAACACCACACATTCTTTTGCAAAAGTTCAATAGGAGCCAGTGCCACCATGTATTGTGCCATTATGTGTACATACACCCCAGGGACAAAAACTATACTTTCCAGTAAAGCCACATCCTCTTTAACCAATCTTTTGCACGTCATCTTAATTCATACCATTATTACTGAAGCTGATACCTTACTTGGGTTAATAAACAAAAGCCCACAGCTTTCACTTGAATTCACCTTAATGTATTTCATGAATAGGGATCTGCTGTCAAACTGAATTCTAATGTTGTGAATCAGTACTTACATGTTTTTCTGGGTGTAGATACTGCTGTTGGCTGCCAGTTTGTTGGCCTCAGACAGCTCAGCGATCCTCTGCTCCAGGCTGTTCATCTTGGAGTCCATAGCATTTATGGTCTGAACAGAAATGATGGACAGTACAGCTTGTGAATTAAATAAACATTTAGTCACATCATCACATTGCAGGCGTTAATTGGGATCAGATTAAAGGGACTGTTCACCCAGAAATCAAGGATACAATTTTTTCCTCTTACTTGTAGTGCTGTTTATCAGTCTAGATTTTTTTGGTGTGAGTTACTGAGTGTTGGAGATATCAGCCATAGAGATGTCTGCCTTCTCTCAAATATAATGGAACTAGATGGCACTCAGCTTGTGGTGCTCAAAGTGCCAGAAAAATAAATTTGAAAAACCCAACAGCAATGTCTCTTCCCAGAAATCATGACATACTCAAGATATTTTACAGACCTTGTTGTGGGCAGTTTTATGTAGGAACTTTTTTCTTTCTATCGAAGTAGCAGAAGGAAGCGTGCATCTACTCAAGGACAAGAGGCTTGTGCTTACAGCATGATATGTAAAAATCAATGGCATCCTCCCTGGCTGAGCTGTCATATTATCTAGCTCTATGGTGCTAGATGAGTTAGTAGTAGATGTACCTTATCTTCTATGTGGTAATATGGTTGGCAGGGGGTTCAATAGAAAGAAAATAGTTCCTGAATGAAACTGCTTACACCAAGGTTTGTGGATTATTTTGAGTAACCAGGTCATGATTTCTGAAAAGAGACACTGTTGTTGAGTTTTTCAAATGCCCTTTTTGGCGCTTCAGCACCACAACCTGGGTGCCATCTAGCTCCATTATATTCGAGAGAAGGCAGACATCTTTATGGCAGATATCTCCAACACTCAGAAACTAAGATAAATAGCACTACAGATAAAAGGAAAAAAACATTTTCAATTTTGAGGTGTACTCTCCCTTTAAGGCTCATTATTTTGTACTCTACAATAACCTATCCAAAATTATTCCAAACAAGAAATCTATGTCAGTGTGATAAATGTTAAAATACGCCTGAGATAGTGTCGCTGCCAAGCTGGTCAGTTCTTACCGCCTTCTGTTCACTGATGATGCTGCACTTCTCCCGCACCTCCTCCTCATATTTGCTCTGACTGGACTCCAGCATCTCCTTATCAGCCATGTCCGCCTTCATCTGGGCCTCCAACACCTGCTCAATGCCAGGCAGCCCACAGAACCATAACCAGGATATCACTTAACAGGACAGAGAGTGGTGTGAAGATGACATACTGTAGATCTCCCGAGCACAGAGCACACCCACAACTCAACCAGTTACAGCATGACCTCCAAACATAGCACAGAGCACTTCCTGTAAATACAGTTCAAAAACATACACCTGCCGTCTGTTTTACGTAGCACCAAAGAGTCTATATATGTGTGTGTTTATGTGTCCATAAATTTCACCTTTATCTTATCTTCATAGAGCTTCTCCTTCTGTTTCAGATGAGTCTCCAGTCGCTGGACTGTGGCTTGGGTCTCTCGCAGATTCTCCTCCAGGCCCTAGTCAAACATACAAATATGTTATGCACAAAAAGGCTAAAAGAAGACAAAACTTCACAGCTTCGTTTTTTAATAAGTAAGTCATCACAAAAAAACAGTTCACACTTGTGATATGATATCTATGATATGTAAGGGGTGGTCAAAAAGACTCCTTAATCACAAACACCTAATGGCAATCAGTGAGGGTTCCTGGTGGTAATGTGCCTCATGGTGTTTTGGAAAAACACAAATTATAATGAGCTTTTTTTATCTGCATTGTTTGCAAGGGGATTTTGATTGCAGTAGAGCCAGAAAGAGATTCAATTTCCATACCAACACACAGGCATTTTTGATGCCAGATACAATATGTTTGACCAGGCAGTGTTGACAAGGAAGTGTATAACCAGTGACACATTTTCATAAAACACATTCATGACTCTTAAGTGTACAATACTAAGACCAGTCCCTTGTCTTTGTTACTATGGATGAAGGAAGTAAGCAGGTTTAAGTATGCATGAGACACAATGTAATCCACATCAGTGAGGTCAAATTGACCCCTTCTGCATTCTCTTTTCGACCTTTTTCACTTGTTACAGCAGGGAAAGCACAGGTGGAACTAATACACAATACTCAAGCACTAGAACGGGTACACCTAAATGGAACACAGCAATTATTGTTTCCTATGAACAACTACTTTCTCCCCTGTACACCCACACAGTTGTTTTCCATTTATTCTGGCTAATAAGACCTCTGATCAGGTTGAAGCTGGGTGTAGGTATATGGGAGATTAAGGTATGTGACCAAAGTCTATGGATCAATATGAATAGTAATTTATATAATCATGAGGGCTCTGCTGAACGTTTTTTTAATATATATTTGAAGCTTCAGTTAAGAATGAAATTTTGAATGTCCGTTGTCATATTTCATGACTCTAAAAAAAAGGAAAAATGAAAAAATATAAAAATAAATAAAAATCCTTGAACAATGTGAAAGCAGTGATTCATCGCATTCAGTGAGCTGGTCCTTTTATAATTCAATAAACTGGACTGCTCCTAGACCATCCTGTTAATACAGTTGCATTCCTCCCTTTGTGTGCAGCAAGCAGAAGAGTAAACAATTTTTTGGCTGCAGTGAAGGTGTTGTTTTTGAAATGCTAAACACCAACAAATGTGTATTGAAGCAGAATATTTTGTTAGAAAAAAACATTTTCGTGAATTTTGAGAATGATTACATCTATATTTTTTTGGGATATTTTGACTTTTGGACTTAACAACGCCCTAAAGTTATTAAAAATGTTTGGATCACATGAGTCAGAAACAATCGTAGACAGTCACCACTGGAATCTAATTCCACAAATAGTATAATACTAATGATATTAATGTAGCCTAATCTTTGTCGGCAACTATGCAGAAATATCAAGTCTAAACAGAATGAAAAGACATGCAAAAACAAAAGCTGCACCATATGCTGATTTAGAAAACCTGATTTAGAATTTGAATTTCAACATTATGAGTGAAGCTTTGAAGCTTCAAACCAGTCAGTACAACCCTCATAACATCCCATCCTGACAGATACACAGTGATTAGGTAAACCAATTGAAAGCACTTCTGTGGGTGATTTCTATCTATCTATCTATCTATCTACATATATATATATATATATATATATATATATATATACTTGGTTTATATTCAGTTCATCCATGAAGACAGTAGATGATAAAGGTGAGGTTTTTCAGAAATATTATGTAAAATAGCACTTCCTCTGCAGTGATGACAATGAGCTATGTTTATCTCACACCTCCTCTGATTATTTTAGCTCCACACAAGTGGTGAAAGGTGGGTTACCAGAATCTTATCTGCCATCTGCTGTATCTGCTGGGCCTTGCCCTGGATCTCATCCTTCAGTTTTGTCTCCCGGCGCTCGACAATCTCCAGCCTCTTCACCTGGTTCTCCAGGGTCTTCCTACCATCCTGCAAACAACAGACACAAGTAATGCACAAACACACACACACACACACACACACACACACACACACACAAACACACAAGCGTTAACCACCTAATAAAATACTTCCTTTAGTTTTAGAAATGCAACCTCAGGTCAAAAGTTCCATGGAGTAAAATGAAATAGTGTTTCTTGCTAGACATCATAGTGCATTTTCGTAGAAATGCTAATTAGGCTTAAGATTTCCACTTCAGTGAAGAATTGATGAAACACTGTAGCAGCCACATCCATTTGGCTTGTTAGTGATGCACCTCTCCATTGTTTATATCTCATTATTCCAACTTCTTCACAATGGTTCCAAAGAGCCCATTTGCATTCATGTGTGGTGGTGCGAGAGGTCTTTGGAGCTGTTTAAATTTGACCACGAGTATTTTCTTCCCTCTGACTCTCCTGTCCACATTAACCTATGCTAATTACCAAATTTACATGTCTAGTGCTTGATGTAAAGTGCTATTTAAAAAGAACTCAAAACAAGCTTTGAATAAACTAAAGTGTGCTGTATATGTAACTATAGACGTTGCATATGCATATCTTTACAGCAGTTTTATTAGAGTTGATTCATTGTGTGACTGGGTCACCATACAATTCTGCAATTCACTTATACAAATAAATAGTTCTGACTGATTCTTATGAAACAATGTTGAAGATGATGAAAGGGTTGCCTGCTGATGTGTGCACTCTTTCACTCTGTGGTGAGCAGAGAAAGATTTGAGATATTGGCGTTTGTTGTTTGTTCCTTTATAATCCCTACTAACTGAAACCTACACACTTTGGAGCACAAGCAAAAACGTCCTATCAACATCCCGTATTTAGATTCTTGAAACTTCATATTAAGATTTTATTCAGAGGAAACCTGATGTAAAGAATAACAATGAGATATATGCTCACATTTACAATGCTTGGAAGTATTTTTCCAATGTAAGAAGCAATACAACAGCAAAAAACAACAACACTGAGGATAAATATGAGTGCTAAATTTCTAAGGCAATGGATTAAAAAAAAAGAACCATCACTAAAAGGCCTTTTCACAGCCACAGATTTTTTTCTTTGTTAAATTTAGATGTTAAGACATTCACAATTAACCCAGTGAATCAGGCCTGCGAGAAAACTGCACAGACACAGTTTGTCCACATTGTAGCAGGAGCACGGAGCCACAGGAATTACTGAGCCACTCAAGAATCATATAGTAAAAAGCATGCAGACTGATTAGCTTCATAAGACCAGCAACAATAGCTGCCTCTCTGTTCAAGACCACACATTGTCCCTACACAATATATACAACAGGACTTTCAGTGATATTTGTAATAAAAAAAGAGCCTTTGGTTTAGTTTTACTCTGTGTGTACGGGACAGGGAGGTAGTCTCACAAACCAAAAAATACAAATATCACATGACCACAAGTGGATCAATTTCAAATTGTGATCCACTGTGTCAAACATCCAGGCTATCTAAAATGTTTTTAAGCCATCACAGCACAAGTGTTTCTCAGAAAGTGCAAAAACAACATGTTTACAAGACAACATATGGGCTCTTTGTGCTTAGCAGACACCCAAGCCAGATTTATTTATGCAACACTTTAAACAAAGAGGTCCTTGATATTGCAAAGCAGCGAATGACGTGATACACAGAATAATGAGAAGGCCAGAACACATATAGGCTATATGTGTATGTGTACTGTGTGCGTGATAATGAAGGCGTGGGTGTACCTCAGTCTCACGGAGGCGTCTACGCAGGCTGTCACTGGAGTCTTCCTTGTTCTGTAGCCTCTCCAGATCTCGCTCCATGCGCTCTTTGGCCAATCTCATAGTCTGAAGGAGGTCTGTAGCCTCAGCAGTGGCCTTTGAAGACTAGGTGTTAAAAGATAAATATCATTAAAAGAGTATTTGTTGTTATTTACATAAACTTTAATGGAACAGAAAATCTATATTCATCTTGTTTAATTTACAAAATCTTATGTTCAATCTGATAAACATGCCACTGATTAATAACTACATCAAATAAAAGAACGGAGTCAAAATAAAAAAATATATGAACATGTATCAGCATAATAACTGAGTGACAAATCAAATATATTAAATGAACCAGTTTTACATTCAACTGCATCACATGCTGAGTACTCCAAGCAACACTGCTGACACAAGGTTAAAAAGCACTTTTTGTTGATGTTAGTGTCTAGGGAATAACTGACATCCTTTAGCTAAATTCAGTGGCTGCTTCTAAACAAACTGCTGCTCATTGCTAATAAGAAATCCTTAAACAAACTACGCTAGGTTATTTTCAGGTCCTACCCTACTGATTATTTCATAAACTGTTCTGCACTGAGTCACAAGTGAACCTGCTTCAAATGTGAGCTCAGTCAGCCTTGAATACCAGCTCCACAACCTCATGTGCTCTTGGCAGAAAGAATGATACTTTTAAATATTCATTTCTAGGAAAAGACAATTAGGATGAAATTATCTTTGCTAATGAGGCAAAACTGTTTGATTGCTGATAATTTAGCAGTAACTCTAGTTTTAAAAAGACAGCTTAATAGTTCTTGGCCATAGACCAAATCTGACAGAGAGAGAAAGAATGAGGTCAGGAGGGGTAAAGAGGAGTTTATACACTCATCTAAAAGGGTAAAATGCTGTTACATCTCTTGCATTTGGGAGCACAAGCTCATATAAATTATTCATTTATCGTCCCAGCAAAAATATTCCACCTTGGCAAGCTTCTCTTGAAGATCCTGGATCTTGGTCTGCTGCTCAGCACTGGTCTAAAAAAGAAATATACAGTCATTACAATATGTAAAGGTTGATATTTAAGCTTCTTATCTTCTCATCTCTCTCTTTTGTTAAAGTTACCTGAACTTGTCAGTGTACTTATCCAGACATATTTAGCCATCCTCACCAAACACAGAATCTAGTAACAATTAAATAAACTTTATTTTCTACCTTCTCCAACTTGCATATCTGCTCCTCTGCATCTGCCTTGCTCTGCTCTTTGGCCTGTGAAGATATGGGAAACTCTTTGATCCTTTCCAGTAATGACCATGGCAAGATGACAGTCAAGTAGAAACTTTATAATGACTACAAGTTAAACTGATTTACACTATGAAAAAACACAGTAACTTTCAGGCTCATTAAGAGCTACAGTAAAGACCTTCTGAATCCTATGTTGGTAGTCAGCAGCCTTCCTCTTCAGTTCCTCACTGGTCTGCCGAGACTCTTTCAGCTCAGACTCATACAGGTCGCTACGGCGACGGGCAGCAGACAGGTCCTCCTCCAGTTGTCTTATGGAAACTCTCATTTCCTCCAGCTGGGCATGATATTCCTGCACAAAAAAACACAGAATCCCCCAGATAGAAGATGTAAGAGAGGAGCAGAGGAGCAAAAGTCCTACATGCGCAAAAGGAGAAAAAACACTTAAGAGTTCCAATATGTTATTTTCATGGCCTAGGAAAGATCATGTAATATTTATGCACATGAGTTACTCTCTCAAAGCCGAAAGCCACAGAAGTAAGTCTCAAACTTGTCATGTCATAGGGTCTAAACTGTGGAGCTGCTCCATAGACTATGAATGAGAGCCTGACTTTGTAGACCCACAAAATGTTTGTTTCATTTTTTATACCCAAATGAGCTCTATTATCTATTGTAGTGTTGTCATTTGTGAAACATAAAGTATACCCATACACCCAGAACATTCCCCTGGATGCTCTCAGTGTCATCTATGACATCTTTCACCATTCACTGTGGATAGAGCAGCTCCAGACTTTATAAATGATGCAATGGCTTCTAACAAGAACATTTTCTTCAAACAGGTTGCAGGGGTGCAGTCCAAATGTATTAGTAAACATGAACAACTCTCTCCTCAATCCAAAATCTAGAGTGCTAAAACTCAAATTTGTGATATCATCGAGTAAATAATCTGGAGCTGCTCCATAGACAATGATTCACCCACAGAATGTTTGTTTTTTTGATACCCAAATGAGCTTTACTGTGTTGTAATATTCTCATGTGTGAAACAGCAAATGTACCCATATACTCAGAACACCTGCATGCTCTCACTGCCATTGTCAACATCTTTCCCAATTCATTGTCTATGGAGCAAGACCAGACTTAATGACATCACTAATCTGAGTTTTAGCACTCTAGATTTTGATTTTGGGAGAGAGTTGTTTGTGTTGACTAATATTTTTGGACTGCCAAAAAATACCTGGAAAAGGACACAGTCTTTTTGAGTTCTGGCTACTTGTAAGCACAATTGTAGACCACTTGTTATTCAGTTAACATGAAAATATTTGTTTTGCAGCCATTGAAAGTGCCCTTCTACAACTGCAAGTGGAAATGAGCTCTCCATTAGCCCCTGAACCTGTTTGAAGAAAATGTTGTTGTTAGAAGCCATTGCATCATTTATAAGAACAAACTCATTCATAAGAGCTGCCGGTACAGAAGCACATTCAAACCTAACAGGAAGAAAATGGTTCAATGGGGGTAATTAAAAGGCTTACATAAAAACCATTATTTGTCAGATATGTTGGTAGTCATGGGAGTGCAGAGACACTTCAGTAAGGGTAGCAAGTATAACCACGCTTGTGATATGAAAAGGCAATGAACAGAGAAAAGAATGTGAAGACGAAAATGTGATCAGCCAGAGTCACTTACTGCACATGTCTGTTTAAAAGTAATTAGTCACAGCCAAACAGATCTAATTTCAACCTCCACATCAGTGTGCAGGGCACATCAGCCTGTCTGTCAGGCTAATAAAAAGTAGCATCCTTCAGCATCCGGGGAGACTGATGCTCAGCCGACGCAGATTAGAACAAGTGAAGCAGACAACATCAGACATGGTGAAAAATAGTGCTAACAGTTTGGCTGAAGTGGAGCGGCAGGTTACATTGATGACCATTAATACTTTAGTGAAGAGACTATCTGCCAAACCAGTTAGCCCATGTTGGCCTTCCATATATAAGAACTGACCTGTGTGTGTTTTAGGTAAGAAAAAACAGCAGTGAGATGGCTGCCTGTGCACAATATAAAAGTACCTGTGTGCCTACCCCTCACTGATCATTTTGGCTTGACTAGAGAATAGGTTAGCAGCTTCCATCAATAAGAACTGAATGGATCTCCTGGGTGCCACTTTTCATCTGGTCATAACTTCCCAAGTCAATAAAAGCTAGAAATGTTTTTCAAATTTCAGTAAATCCTTTGCAAAACAATGACTCAGTATAAGGAAATTAAAGACAGGGGGATTCAACTTTCAATATGATGTTTAACAACTAAGGGCTTGTGGAGCGCTGAATCACAGTTTTCTTTTATTAAAGTGAACCTATTGTACGATACACATCCTGTCCTTATGTTAGAATTTAGCCATTTTGTATCATTGACTGGTATTTAAAACACTTCCAAGAAACCAGAAAAGACATTCGAAACTCTATAAAAATGAATATATTTTAGCGTATAATGGGCAATAACTTTAAACTCTACCACTTTATATTGTAGATTTACAGATTTAGTACCTCCTAGAGACTGAAAAAGACCTTCAAATCAGTAATCACCTGTCTATTCGTTATCTTGGGGCTGCTTACAATTTTTATTGACAGTATCATCAGCCCTAAAAACACAGAACGCTCATGACAACAAATCATAAACATGATTAACTCCCAGTGAGGGTGTTTGGCTGGGCAGGTTTAAAGCTGGTAAACTGACACACTGCACTGCTAAGGTTATTCCATGAAGATATAACTTCGTTTACTCTTTCCCTCCAGCTAAATATAATTGCCCTTAAATAAAACATTTGCTGTCTAGTAATTTTCCTCTCTATAAACTGTAAAATCCATGTTGCCAAATAGATGAAGCAAAAGACATGGTAAGCTAGAGGTAGCAAATATGAGACCAACTACATTCACATATTATGAGATGCACTATGCTCCCTTGTCCCTGACTGCAACATAGGAGACACTGCATATGAGATTATCACTACTTATGCACATGGAAATTAAATTCGAACCATACCAGAGAGCTTTTATTTTTTAGTCCATTTACTGAAGATTCTGAGCACTTAAATTTCTGCTGGCTTTTTTTAAACCCTGCTGTTGTTTTTCTGACTCATGCCAGCCTTACACCAAACAACTTTCAAGCAATTTCACTATTGCAGAAAAATTTCCAATGTTGGATTTAAAACAAGAGAGTTTTACCTCAGTTGGTGTCAGCTGTCTTAAATCAGTCTTTTTCTTGTCGTGACATTCTGACAAAATTACACATGTTTAATATGTTTTAGTCTTGGCTCATTTAAATATTTAAGTTCAATAACACGAACATTGTAAACGACCAATAGGTGTGCTCACTCCAGCACCACACAGGAAGCAGAGAAACGTTTGTGTGCAAATAGCATTTATCTTTACAGTTTAAACTGATGCAGAATTGGCATGAAAAGTGTCAACATATGGCGCCTTTTATCTTGTGTTTCTAGAGTTATTTGTTTTTGCAGACACGTAAAGAATCTTTAATGTGTCATAATTTCTAAAGGGAGTTTGGTGTAATATTTTCTACCAGGAGCAGGATAGGAAATAATCTCGAAAGGAATCTAGTTGTATTCTTGCAAACAGAGGCCCTGCAAGAACCCCAATCTCATAGTGTGTAACTAAAGAAGTCTTTTCAAAGTCTTCTACTGTTTGGCAGGCATTAGTATGTACGGCAATTTTAGACCACACTTATACTTATAATACTGAGACTACACAGACTACAAAAGTATGCAGTGTATACTTATGACTCTTTTACAGGGCTCTTGTTTAAAAACGAGTCAGGCAGAAAAATGAAAACTCGCTTTTTCTCTGAAATCAAGGACATATTGATTCAAACATTACTGTGACTTTGATGTTGGGAATCTGCTGTTATTGTTGTCAACTGTAGACATGTCAAAAGAAGCTTCACCGGCATACCAACACTAACTAAGGTAATGCTCCAGGAATAGTACCAATGCCATAATAAAGGGAAAAAACATGCAGGATTGAAAGCAGATATGGCTGTAAATAATACATGATCAGTTCTGCAAATGTTCTAGAGGAACAAACATATTTGGTTTTGGTCAGAAACACTGATTGCAAATATTAAAAGATCCCTTCACACCTACATAGTGATGGAGTCATGGAGTCCACCATTTCACACTGCCATGTTTCCACAGTAGCCCAGAGTGGATGAACCAAACATTGGCTCTAGATAGGGCCTTTTTGCACGAGGGCCATCATAGGTTCTTGTACACACTCAAAAGGAGAGAGGTGAGCAGAGAGGTATTCACTTAATTGCAGTGAGCAACCTCTAGATGCTACTAAATCCTACACAATGGTCCTTTAAGTCTGCTTTTGTTAATGAATTGAACTTTTTATTTTATTTTAAAAGCCCTTTTTTGCCTTTATTTGACAGGACAGCTGAAGACAGACCTGAAAGCAAAGGGCTCCTGAAACTGAACCCAGACCACTGTCTTTAGTGCATTAGGGGAATGTTCTAGGTGAGCTACTGGGTTCCCCCTCTTACTAACAGAATTTATAAAAATGCAGACCTGTCCTCTCACTTAGATCCAGTGTGCTTGATTATGCATGCATACATAAACAATACACGCATACAATGATGCCCCATCAAGTGTCACACCCTGTAGCCTTTTTTTGTGTTCACACTGGAGCAGTGTCGTTTTCCATAGTTTTTGGTGAAACTGTTTCTTTGCATGTGTTCAGGTCGTAACGGTTTTGGCACAGAATGCTTTTCTTTGAAAATGAATCTATCCCCAATCTCTACTGTTTGTTGATCCAACACTGCAAGGTTTCTGCATGAAAATGATAAACACTGCAGTCATATGACAGAGCGTGGGAGACAGATGCTTTTCAAGATGAAATGCTGGATTTAGCTGGCGTTAATACCCTGCTGTGAGGCACCAATGGGAACACAGAGCCAGATAATATGCCTGAGCAGCAAACTAACTATGAAGATACAGACTATAATCATTTTGCTCTACTCATAATTTATCCATAGAAGGGTTGCTTTGCTTGTTATTTTTAACTCCCACTACTTATACACATCCAGTTACAATGTGTTCGGATAAACCACAGTCTCACAGCTGTTGAACAACACAAACCTTTACCCACACCTCCTGATTATCCTGGTGGGGGAGTCTTATCAATATTCCGCTGATAGAATTTAGTTTTAACTTGTGCCTGAAGACAGACTCGTGGCAAACAAATCTTGACCTTTATTTGGAGAACAGCTGGACAGGTAACATAGACTGGTTGGGAAAACCAAAAGCCACTTTGGTAACCCAATCTGACAATCATGGCCACTTAATGCAGTAATTGGCCAGGTGTGTGTAGGTGACAAAGTAGACAGGATTTGACCTTCTCTGTCAAGCTTCCTTTTTAAATTTTTCTGCACTTTTCATGTGCACAACCTCAAGCCTTGATGAGAGATTGTCTAAAAGTGCTCCCCTAACCATTTGTACCATTCACTTTATCAACACAGGAAAGACATGCAGCCACAGGAGAGAAAAATCAGGGAGGCAGTTTTTATCCCACCTCCAACCCTTAAAGCTATAGTTGGTAACTTCTATTAAAAAAAACATATTTACTAAAACTGTCACTTCTTTCACACAGCACAAAGTTAGACAAATAATCTGTCATTTCCTCTGCCTACTCTATAACACTGTCGTGTTTCTAATGGCCTTGCTGCATGTGAATGAAAACAACCATTCAGAGTCGAGGAGTCTTGAAAGCAGCTGTCAATCATGTCAATCACTGCGTGTGAACTGCGCTGATCAAATTTGAATTAAGATTCTATACCCGTATTGCCTATTTCTCACCTCAAATATTTTCGGAAACATATTTTAGTGTACTGTTTAGCTGTAAAATGAGAAATGAGAGGTAGTGGGATATAGTGACAGTTTCAGCAAATGTGACACAAAGTTCTTTTCATAAGTTACCAATGTAGCTTTAAAGGACAGGTTTTCAATTTTTCAAGTCTTAAAACAATAGTCAGGTGCCCATATGAACATAGAAATGTGTCTAATGTGCCTCCACTGTAAGTGATAAGAGACAGAATTCACAGTTCTTGTTTTGTGTGAAATTGTATTCAATAAAAGTGAATTCAAAAGTTTATATGGAGTTAATATGAAGCTTCACCAGTCTAGCATTCACAATCTTTCACTAACCTTAACCAAAGTGCTTTTTTGTTGCCTAAACATAACGACAGACAGAATTTGGATGTGAACCCAGAATTATAGTGTCACAGTCCTGAACTTTGTATGTCCACCATATCCACCTCCCTGCTAGACCAGTGCTGTACAGAAATGTAATGTTTAGGAGACATTGTCTCTGAACATAATCCAAGCAGAGCTGCTGTTGTTACCACAATGTAATTATGAATGCAATTTAGTAATATACAATCATTTTCTAGGAGACACAGTTGCAGAGATGCCTGGACAACTTCAACTGGTTTCTCTTGCCGAGGAGCAGCAGATCAATTCCAAGGTCCTTTTTAATTTCATGAACCCTTGTTATATAATACTGTGTTGTATAAATGCATTTTTGAACTGCAACCAAATTAGGATTAATTGATGCTGGTAATTTGTGTGTTCTACCAAGCAAAGGTATGTGTATGCACTTCCTCACCTTGTTAAGATAAGAGATAATAAAAGAAAGCTCTATTTAGGACAGAATGCGTCCATCTAACACACATCACTCATTTTTGGGTGGCATATCAAGTGATGTTCTGTTTCTCAAACAGTATGAGCTAAGGCCCGAGCACCTCATCACGACAGCCTGCCCACTGCATCAGTGCTCTCTTCACTCGTAGGTATATGGCTCTCATCACCATAGCAACCGTTGCACAATGTATTCTGCGCTTGGTAACCAGCACTAGTGTAGGCTGAGAAAAACAGGTTGCTTTTCTATTACCTGTTTTTTTTTTTTTAAAAAAATGGTGCATAATGCCAGGGAAATGATTTTTCATGCTCTCTATCTGTTGTTCTAAACTGTCAATCTTGTAACAGCTTCATTCTCACAGTTGGCAACACTTGGTCATGTGGTGCTGACACACATGCTGAAATATATGCACACACATGCAGACACTCATACATGCCACACGCTCATCACATTTGATTTCAGTAATCAAGGGCTGTATGTACAGTAAAGCTCCCGTCTCTGTTTCCATTAATAGTATTCCTGATTCCAGAGATTCACAAGCAGATACTTGATACAGACTTGACATTTTATACAGAGGATGACCTAATGTATAACTAACTTAGTCTGAAAAATGTGGTGCATTGCTTTTTCTTGCAAATATCTATATATTAAGTTATTTCTTTCCCTTAAAATCCTAAAATATTGAAAATCTTCTACACTGTAGATGACCTGCATCATTATGTCATAAAAAGGTTCAAGTATTAAAAAAGTGACAATAATAACACACCTATTTACATTAATAGGGTACTGCAATATAAGGCATTTCTGAACATGCTGTCAGTTTTTAATATTATATTGACAGCACTCCCACGGAGAGTGTTGAGGATCCAACATCATCTAATTTCTGTAATTAACACTCACACCCTACACACTCAGCCTTGTTGTGTTGACCTGCTCCATGTGACTGCTATTATCAAATACTCCTAAACTGCTTCTTTTCTAAAACATCCTTCTGATATTTCTGCTCTAAACATCACATACAGCACAGTACACCCATCAATGCAAATATCCATCTAAGTGAATAAATACTGAGTCAAAACAAGAAAAATTCTGCTATCAAAGAGAGGTCATTTCATCTTCTTCCTGTCCAAAACAAAGTGTCTCTCCTAGAAGTGTCTCACAGCCAGTCTTAACTATGATGTTAGATCAGTGGTCTGCCTTACTGTGCCTTGATTCAGTTATGACCCCACAACATTTGGAGTAAAAAGCATGTATTTAAACCCATTAGCCTGTTGAAACCCAAAATGACGTCCTACCTGCTCTTTGATCTCTTGAAGCTTGTTGCTCTGCTCCCTGATGTCATGGAGGAGCTGCAGAGCTTTGTCATCCTCCTGTGACACCTCCATACGGGCCTGTTCCAGACTGCGCTTTAGACTCTGAAACCAGAACAAACATATATGTTCAGTCAGTTGCTGGATACACCCAGCTAAAACTAAATACAATCCAACACAACAGCTCTGCAGTGGTTATAATCTGACGTTTTTGTTGGAAATCTTTTAAACTGATGATTCTACTTTATGAGGCTGTGCTGTTGAATTGGATTGTTTTATGCTGACAGGTGTTTCTGATATTTTGTTGACCAAAATTATAGCATATCAATAAATCTCCTGCAGTTTTAACAAAACCCATTAGCAGACGATTTCTAATAAATATGTGTTCTTTGCAGTAGCTACATGGCTACTCACACTACATTCTGTGATGTAGGTTGCCAGGTCCTGTTCCAGGATGGTCCTCTGAGTCTCTGAAGCCTTCAACTCTATATCCTTCTGCTGGAGCACTGACTCAAGGTCAGACATCTTCCTCTGGACGAGTGAGATCTCCTGCTCAACCTGGAAACAAGAACATAGCATGGACCTAACTTTTATCTAACAATTAAGTATAATTTAATGAGTCTCTGGACCCATGGATGCGAGTACATATATCTATAGTTTTATATATCTATCTATCTATCTATATATATATATATAGATAGATATATATATATATATATATGTGTGTGTGTATTTATATTTATTTTTTTGTGTCGTCCTTAACACAGTGTAGCTGAGTTAAGGACATCTTTTCTTTTTGTCTAAAATACTAACAAAAATATTAGCAACAATGCACTAGTGTTTGTGTGTCTGTGTCTGCAAGTGCACCCATATCATTGGTGAGACATGTCAATGGTAGCGATTAATGATACAATTAGATGTGCCGTTACAGCATTACAGGGCCTGAGGAGCACTGGAAACCAGGAAAACAGCAGGGCTGGCACCACAGCCACAGATACACAGTCACAGCACTTAGTGTACGGCAGCACTAACACACAGTCAGCATGCAGACACACGCTCTCAACAACACAGTGCTATAACATGAGGCTGGAGTCAGTAAAAGCAATGGGTCAACATTGTGCTGGAATCCAGCCTTACTGCAAACAATCACAAGATAATTTCAAAATGATTTTCCATTTACAACAAAACTAAAGATACTTTGCAGGATTTTTCTAAAAAGCAATGCATAGACTCATACAGAAGTAATCTCGTTTAACCTTCACTTATGACTTACTAGAAATGCATGGTGGTGTATTTTTCTGCTGAGACTTTTCTTCTAATTTTCTATGTCCAAGACGTTTATGGGCGTGTATCACCACAGCAATCAGGTATGGTCAGTTATTATAAAAAGGCAGCAATCAGGTGCCAGACTGTAAGCAGCAGGCATCAAAGAGACACAGCGCCATAAAAACACAAATACAGTGAGGGTAAATGCCAGACGAGAGTGAATCTGCTTTTACTTTCAGTTTCACTTCACAGGATTGTCAGTTACAAACAGTAACTGACAATCCTGCATAGTATACCTTTAAGAGACAGATGTTGCTGATAAAAACATAAGTTAATGATGGGTTGTATGTGGGGAAGATAACGGTTAATCAACGATTGATTAATCAGTCATTAAGAATTTGATCGAACATGTGAAACTTAGTTGATGAAGTCAAGATCTGATTCTGAAATATAAACAGTGTGGTCTCCTGTTACATTGTAACCATTCTCGGAACCCATCGGCTGTATTATACAGCCTCTGGGGGCAGACCATAGACATATGGGCAGACCCCCGCTTTTTGGGCATTCCGGTTTGATTTGGGCGGAGGAGGCGAATTTCCGTTTCCGACTTCCATTTATATATAAGTAAATATGCTGAACCAGTTTGCAGTGACGCCAATTATGTTCCGCCTCGTTAGTTCACCGCACGGACCGTTTAATCTGGCAACAACTGCAGCCGGCTCAAACGTGATTGGCCAATATCACGCGGACTACAAACAGCCTACAACTGGAAACCAGGGCTCTTCCGCTCTTCTTCCGGAGGCAAGATCTCCGGGGTTTGCCTACAGACTCTACATTCACTGAATGTAGAGTCTGTATATAGAGCCTACATTGTAACTAGCATGTCTCAGTGACAATGACTATTTTATAACAAGGCAGCCAACTTGGGGTCCGTCACGGCTACGACTTTGGAAAATGAAGTGGACAAAGCGAAGCATTCGGTTATATTCAATGTATTTCATATATCTAGGGCTCTACATTGTTATATGTTTTATAGACGATGCAGTGCTGTCAGAGAATTAGAGTTCTCAATCTCATCCTTAGCCTGATGGGTCATACAAGGCTCAGGCTAAACATGTGCACTGATAGACCAGGTCAGGTAGGGCTCGAGCTGCAGATTTTTTTTTTTTTTTTTTTAATAAATAAATAAAAAATATAAAAAGTGAACACTATGTGGCTTGCCTGGTTTGGGCTTGGGCTCACTATTTCATGTGATGATCTTGGTTGGGCTGTGTTCGGGCTTCAGCTCATGTAACAGAGTTAGTATACAGTATGTATGATCCCACTTGCCATGGCTCACACTGCTTTATTTTACTTTCTCTGAAACTCATTTATTTTATGGTCAGTGAACACAACACCCCTGCAGACTAGGGTCATGTACCCCGGAAGATAGCAACACTTTGGCTGCACTGTCTCCCTGGCAGGTGCACATGTTATCAGCTCCGTAATTATTTTCTATTAATTATCTTAACTTTATATCTAAGGGGTTGTGTATGTTACCTTTTGTAAGACTGGAGCTCCTGATCGGTTGAGCACGTCCTTCCGTAAAAGTTGACAGTGTTTTTAATTATTTGTGTGTAACGTGGTTAGCATAACTCGGGGTTTAGCTAACTTGCACTCCTTTTTTATTTGATATTCCCAGTGTGAGAGCACGTGTATGAATGAGGCCAAGACTGACTGAAAATATTTCCTCTGCCAGGTACGCTTTTTGTGTATTTTATGTTTATTGTAAAAACTAAGAACACTTTGGCTGCGCTGTCTCCCTGTGTGAGAGCACGTGTATGAATGAGGCCAAGACTGACTGTGAAAATATTTCCTCTGCCAGATGCAGAAATAAACGGCGGGTGCCAACAGTGCTTCATGACTGATGTTTCTCGTGATTATACACAACGCAAGAGAGAGTACACAACCGCTACACTCACATGGGTCCGACTGGTTCGGTTTTATCTGTAATTTTTTCGGCCCGTTGAGTACTCTATGGAAAATATGCAATACGATGCTGTGAGCTTTGATTGAAGGAAACATTTTTTTTTAGTAGTATTAAGTATTAATTGATTAATTGATTGTTAATGTTACTAATAAATAATAAAGGAAACTGCTTGCAATTTGCAACCCTAGTTATATGACAGGCCTGAAGTAAGGAACTACATCTCCACTATTTAGTGTATTCTCTAACCCAGCAGATGCTCGTAGATTTTTGCAATTTTTTTGGGTGACATTATGATATTGGGCACTTCACACTTCACATCAAGAGGTTAAGTTTCGAATTATACTGACTTCATTACCCTGAAGTCTTACAACACTTCACGTCAGGACAGTTTGCGCTTGTTGTATCTAAATTTATGCTTTCTGGTGGGATGGAGGTGGTGAAGTGGTTCAGCTATTGTTGTCAAGTCCATATTTAACATCACTGCAAGCTGCTGGGTGGAATATGCTGAACCACATTCTGAATCCTATGTTTAGTATTTTGTTACAATAACAAGGCAAAATAAATAAAGTCAGTACTTAATGTTTGAATCCCACTAACCAGCCAGTGCAGCAAATCCACAAAAGATTATCTTTACCACAGAGGACAGACACATCTTTCTGGAAAATCAAATCAAAATAGTTGATGGAGGTCACTAAACAAAACAGACATTAAGATAACATTGATAAAGATTAATAAGCCTGTACAACTATAACAGATTTCATGCCACAAAGAAGGCTTCATTTCTTGCAAAGAGTCAGAGAGTGACGTGGAATACTAAAATACATGAACACACACACACACACACTCCAGCTCAGCTACAGCGCCGGGACAAACTGACAAACAGATGGCTGATTTAGCTCATTCTGGAAACAAACTCTTACCATGTGAAGAGTAATACCTGTGACATGTGTCCGGCAATTCAGGCTGTTTTGTGTTTTTAATGATGCTTTTCCAAAGGAGGCAGTCTTAACTAGAAACTTGTGGGATGTAGTCACTAATCTGTAGGAGGGGAGAGCGTGAAGAGAGAATGGGGAGATAGAGAGCAGGAAGAGACACATGATGGCAAACAGTCTTTATGCACAACCTCTCATGAAAACTGAAGGGCTGATTCACTGATCTTATGTAAAACACTTAACCTTTTATAATCATACTGTAAAGATCAGACAGAATTCTGTCTGTCGATTGGAATAATTTACCTTCTATATGTGTACTGATGCTAGTTAAAGTCACAGCATGCTTTAGAATCTCTGTATCGAAATGTTAACCCACTAAACAAGTAAACAAGGGATACCAAGACCCCAGATCACAGTTGTGTGTATTGCAATCAAAACTAGATACATCCATGTTCATTTCTAATAGCTAATCAAGCAAATGCACCCTTATTAAATACATTTCAAAACCAAATTGTAATATCGATTCTAATACCAAGAAGAGCAATTAGCAATCAAGCACTTAAGACTCCATGTACACAGTAACATGACTACACAGATGAATAGCAGATAAAGTATGTTGTTCACAGGAGATCCATACTGCGCTGACCAAATATGCGCTCATATCCTAGCTTAACAGAGACTATAAATAGCCTGCCTGTATTCACACAACAGCTTCTTTTACCACCGCTGGATATATTTGGCAGCTTTTGTGATCAAGAGGCAGGCAGAAGAATGAGCGACACAGGGAGAATGTCTATTAAAAGCAAAGGCTCACCTCCCACTCCTCCCTACAGTAACATGCTCAACTCAAGCTCAGCTAACATTAGGATTCAACTGGATTGCTATATGGTTTTACTGCTGCATGACTGCAAATTGCCATATCTGTTTCCCTTTTTTGTCTATTGTGTTTACTGTCTGTGACTGGCAGGACATAACCATCGCTGCCCAGGAGATCACATGTTAGCAGCTGTGTCAAAAAAACAAAACAAAAAAAGCTGAGCAGACATTGCACGTGAACAACGGATATTATGAGTCTCCAGAGATGACTCTGGTGCTCGCTAATATTTGCCCAGAAATGTCATTGATGTAATCATTATGCTTCAAGGGTCATTTGAGGGCTGAGTTGCTCAGTAACACAGCAGGCCACACAGAATGGGCCTAGGCTGCATCACAATACTGCCTGGTATTCCAGTTTCAGCAGCATGACATGATGCATGAGCAGGTGGCTTGTCATGACTGATGATGGCATGAGCAAAGTGTTAGCTGAGGTAAGCTTTCTCAGGCGACCTGCTGCTCTTCAGCTTGTGTGCACATTACATCAGTGGCTGTCAGGTTTAGATGACATGTCAAAATGTCCTGTTTGTATTTGTTGCTCTGAAACCAGGTAGCAAGGTAGTTAGAGAAGCCATTTCAATCCTGCAGGTGTGATCCCCAAAGATTTTCACTCATGAGAGTGTTTTGTCACATGGTGGCTTTTAGAGCTCGCACCCACTAATGAATCTCATACATCTGTATCTTCTCCTGAGACACCAACATCACTGCATGATTTGTGTTGTTAGTGTATACTTCTCAACAATGTGGAGAACTTCCACAACAACCAGCCAGTGGTAGAGCTGGTGCTTACATGGTGCCATCCTAGCATGAGGCACCAGATGGGACTCAGATCTGGCTGTCTTCCTCCCAGACTCAAGTGCTAGCTGACTGCCCATAATGAGCTGAGCTAACAGACTGTGCAGCTGGGCCCCTCCTCTGCAATAATTAGCTCCCTGAAAGCAATTACTAATAACTATACTTTAAAAAGCTCATTACAACTACAGGAAAGACAGTCTGACCACTGAGCTGGCCTATCTGTGTTTGCCGAACATTCCCTTATTCTTATCACTGAAACAAAACGTATATGTTCCAGAAACTCCAGAAAGCAGTCCTACATTTGGTAGGTAAGCAATACAATGACAGTGCCTGCAATCAGAAATATTACACAAATGCTGTTTGCTTATGAGAGCTCATCAACAACAGAACGTTCAGAGGAACAGTGGCTTCCAACTCAATCCAGAAGCCCTTTTTTTCGTGGGTTGAATAATGTGTGCTGGTCTGTGAGTCAGAGTTGTTGAAGAGGAGGAGAGTGGAGAGAGGTTGCATCCCAGTCATGATGTTGCTCTAGATTCAGTCTGCAGGGTGACCAGGGGCCAGTGCTACTGTATGGGCTGTAGGCAGCGGTGAATCACAGACCTGCTGCAACACTGTAGTGGCATAGATTCTTCTCCAAAAACAAGCTCATGATCCTTCTCCCATCTACTCCCCTCTAGTTTGATCTTTCAGCCCATCTCCTCCACATATATTAAGACATTTGGTGCCTATTGTCATGACAACAATAAATTACTAACACCTCAGTCATGGAAGACAGACAGAGCGCTTCAGGTTTCTGCCATTGCAGCATTTCTCTGATTCAAACATGGTTTTCCAGCTCCTTGGTTTCCTGCTAAACACCACAGGCATTGAAGATTAGGGAGGTTAACCTACACCAATCTGAAAATGCAGCCTCATCCATGGAATCTGAGCTTGATATTAGAGCGCTGTGTTTTTGGAGGCGCATTATAGGCCTAGTGCAATTGCAGATGTAAGCACAGTTCATGCATGTGAATATCTCAATGCATTTGAATACTTTTGAATAGGCTTTTTTAAAAAATATTTTTAGAGTGGTTAGAAGAACAAATTGTGCACAGTTTAAACATAGGTGTAGCGACGACGAAGATGCTGCAAGTGGTACATGAGTTTCCTATCCATATGGTCTGATGGTTGATGCACCAACACACTCAAAGGAATACAAAAACATTGGTCAGAAATAACTACATTTTATTATATGAGCTATTCAAGGAAACATCTACCCTAAAATGTGTTGCAATAGAAGGAGTGTTAACCTAGTCAACTAAAGGCTCATTTGGCCTTTAATCAATAATTAGTTGGTATTATTCCTCAGCTCTCTAATGACAGCTGTTGCATGGCGATTGTCACTGTGGCCACCAAAGCTACAGACCTGAGTGCTCTGGCACCGATGCATGCTGTAGTGGTCGAGGTGACAGAGTATCACAATCTATAAAAGTATGCTGGGCACTTGGGAAAGCACTTCAAAAATCCAGTCCATCATTATATCACAAATCCAAATGACAAAGAGGATCAGTGTGGGCTTCTGAAGGAGGCTTTTGGGAAAATGACACTTGAGGATATGGAGCAGTAGAGCTCTCTCTCTCTCGGTCTCTATCTCTCACATCAAAATTCACATTAGCGATGACAGATCTGTTCAGCAGAGAGTTTGTTTCTTTTTGACTAGGCACAGGTGCCTCTCATTTCTCTGTTCCATCTACCACCAATTTGGTCTGCCTCCACAATCAGGTAAACACACTTTAAAATAAACACCAACAGATGTGACTGCACACTCCTCCCGGCAAACTTTTAACCATTTATATAATGAATATAGTCTACACATTCTGGGTAACTTCTAAACCATGCTCTGCGTTAAGCATGAATCACATAACCTGCTTGTTGTACATAATACTGCTGTATATACTACTCTCATCTATCGGTCCATCTGTCTATCGTTTTCTTTGTCTCTCCCACAATCTCTTCATTAATATTCAGTTTTGTTCTGCATGAAAAGTCCTGTCAGTGCTGTAATTTGTGATCCAGCTGAATAGGCGCCAGCAAGAAGCAGCAAGCTTCCTTCACCTCTCCTCCACCCTTGGCAAAACCTGCTGTTACCATAGAGATACTTTCCTCCAACCACAGTCTTTATCTTGTCATACTTTTTCAAACTGACTTTGTATTGTTGACTGAATCTCAACGCCAGCTACTACATCACCTTTTCATCTGGGGACTTAAAGTGAGTTGAGATTATGAGGAAAATCCCTGCATGATGAACATTCAGATAAACTTTGTCTCAAACTTCCTCAGTCTTGGTATAGATTATTCAGATTTCTGAGAAAAGCATGCATGGTCTCATTTTGACCATGTACAAACAGTGCAGAGTTTAAACGCCACCCCACGGAGTGATAGCCATCTGTATGAGTGTATGCTACAGTAAGTACAGCGATGAAGAGAGATGGGCAAACAAAAGACACAGCAATTCAGTGTCGTGACCAAGAATAGCGCTCATTCCTGATAGACAAGATACAGCTGCTGCATAAGCTCACTGCTACCACTGCTATCTCATTGCTGCATAAATCCTCAGCTGTAGTGTCAGTCAATCAATCACTCACTCAGGTAATAGGTCCAACATGCTGACAAGGAGAAAATAACAATGCACTGTAGCAGTTCAGAGCTGTAAAACAAACACACTGCTTTTATTCTTTCCCCGACCAAGTCATCACCCTCATTCCCTTCCCTGTCTTTGATGGCAGCAGTATTGTAAGAAAATAGTAGAGCACTTACTCAGAGACTGCTACAGCTGACAGCTTTTCTACGAAGCTCCTTAGACGCGGCACCTCCTCGTCCAGTAAGCCCGTTCATGTGGGTTCTCCCTTGGAAGCCACCAGCCAGAATGAGAGCTTCGCTGGTTCATCAAATTTGGGGATGTCATCCTCACTGGGGAGAGAGTGGAGCTGAGGGGAGAGAGAGATGTGCTGTGGCAGGGCAGAAAGCTGTGAGGCAGCGAGAGCGACTGGAGATTACTGCTTACAGAGAGATAGAGTGAAGGGGAGAGGGAGGGAGCGGAGAACTACAGAGAAATGGCATTGTGGAGTAATGCAGCAGACCGGTGATCACATACTGTAGAGAGTGAGAGGAAGCTCCCACCCTCTCTCTCTCTTCTCTGCCACCCGCTTACCCTTACCTCCCCCCCCCCTCCTCCCCCCGTACTGCAGCAGCCGTCACTAATCACACTAATGTATGCTGCTTGACACACTGCGTTAACAGCCAGCTCCCAATAGTTGCAAACTTACAGTAGGTTCATGTCAGTTACTAACGACTCTTTAAATTGTGCAGCTTATTAGTGACTAAGCACAATGACCCCTACTAAGCCTCCCCTAAATGAGCAGAAGCAATGCAATCTAATAACTGGCAGGACAAAAATGGTACAGTAGAATTCTGCTTTCATCTACAAGTAAACAACAACAAGAGCAAGTAAAAAGAGGGTCCTGCTTAAAGAAACATGCCAGTGTAACTTCAACGCAGAATTTTTCTTGAATAGCATAATCCTCTGAATAAAACTGTGCCCAAGAAGATAACAGTTATGAATCTTTGAGTCTGTCACACTTTAAAATGTTCACTTATATTTTTAATTCAATTTTATTTTATAGTTAGAAATGTGTTATTTTTGCTGTTAGATAAAGCTCAAGACTTAACAGCAGTGTACGGATGCCTTCTATCATACATCATAATCCTGTACAGCCAAAATGTCAATTACAACCCTTCACCCTTGACTCTACAATTGCCTGCAATAGGAGCACTAAACATTGCTAAACCAACAATGTAACAAAACATATTGAAATAATATTGCACCAGGGTTAACAGTAGCACAGTACATGTCATGTCACAACTAACAAGGTCCCCTGTGTCTGACACACTAGGTTCACCTCAATTTCTGTTTTTTATGCTAATGTAAGCCAAATGACACGTCACTGTGATACTGACTTGCAAACTACACTCACACAAACACATACACACACGCAAACAGAGTGACAGATTACACATACAGTAACAGATGGCAGAACCTAACCTAGCAAGCAGTACTACATCAGCACAGCAGAAGGGACAAAATACTCAGAAGGTGAGAGCATAGTACAGTACAATCAATGAGTGTTAGAGTAATTAGTGGCCGAGAGACAACAAGAGCAGTACTAATTTTCTGACTAGTTCTTATTTAGACTTTTATGACTGTTAAGGAGGGCGTGTGAACACGTTTGTCTTAGTTGTGCTTGTACAACATGAGTGTTTTTGTACCAAAGGCCAGGCCAGAGTTGCCCCATACGCTGGCCTGGAGTCAGATCACACCTCCACTATTTCCCTTCCACCTCTACACATCCTCCTCACTGTCAGGATTTGACTGACTTTGTCTCTTTGCTCCATGAATCCTGTGCATTATGCCTTTCTTGTAGCTCAGTTATTTTAGATGTCTCTGATTCAGACAAGCAGATCTGTTACTGTAATCTGAAGAGAAATCTGTGTCTGGACAAACACAGATACAGGAAGAGCCCTCAATAAAAGACTTCCCCACACAGGCCCAGGATGAGGTCATCACCTGCCACAGAAACAGTGTTTCTGCCAGTGATACCTAATGCAACATAGTATCTGTCCAGAGAGAAGCAGTTTTCTAATCAACCCTTAAGTATCCTTGAGAAAAAAGTGTAATTATTCATAAAATAAAACCTGCTTTTGGCTTATGCTATTACATAACGCAGCGTGTTGCTAGAGGTTATGCGACTTTTTTCAGCTTGACATTTTATTAAACCTTCACAGCAACTGTATAATTTGTTGTGCATCTATAGTAAATGCAAAGGTAAAACTAGGCCTGCTGTTACAGGTTACCACTACTAAGGTAAAAAATTAGCTTCTTAAAGTCTGCATGTATTTTCCTATAGCTCACAGTGAAAGGTCACATGTGAAAGCAATAAAATTAAAAACAGTTTACACTAAATGTCATATCTAAGTGTTTGAAATCAGTATGAAAAGTGTTGCATTTTCATCGTGATTTTGAGTACTGGGTTGAGGCAGAGGCATCATAATGATGTTACCTAGCAACAAGGTGGTGTATGTGTCTAGAGCAAATCCCAGTTTAATTCCGAAGTAAAGATGGAAAATTACAATTCTTTTCACTGGATGTTCCCAAAAGGATTTCACTGTAATGTAATATACTAGAATTAATTACATCTAAATCACTTCAGATTCTGTTGACAATCCCAACCTTTCTGCAGTATGGCAGCAAAGTTATGATAATCTCACAAACATTTTTGTTTTTTGCTGCAAAATAATGGTTAATATAGAAAAAATATACCAAACAGTATAGCAATGTTAGAAAGTATCATTAGGGGGAAACCATGATCAGACAGAGCAGTACCTCTTCAGTAGCTGCTACAAGCTAGAAGAGATATCAGCGTAAAAACACTGCCATCCACCGGCACTACATATAAATAGCTAGCATTTCTAAATTCTGTGAGTTCTGTCATGTTGGTATGAGGTTAGGGCTATCACAGAGAAATACTGCAATCTAGAGGTTTGAAGGGGCCTGATTTTGTTACATAACAGACAGTCAAACCTTGCATTAGTTGAAAAAAGGCAGAGTCAGGCTATGACTAAGGGTTGATGTTACATAAGCACAGAACACTAAGTACTCGGAAGACGCTGCTCTAGATACTTCCTGTAAACTGCCACTATTAAAGGAGCTTCATTGAAGGAATTTAAGCCGGCTTACTCATTTGGTCACAAGACAGTTTGGAAAGGGGATGGGAGTCACTCACAAATTTACAAACAAAGCTTTGATGGTGTTGAAAGTGCATCAGAGACAGAAGGCTGTTTATGTTCTCTGAGGAAAATGTCTGTAATTGGTTGTAAATACAGAAGCTTAATACACTGAGTTACAACTGTATGACTGCAGATATTTAAAAATAAAACACTTTTATTTACAAATCCTTACCATAATCTCCATTTATCAAAACAAATCTTATACCCTAAGTAATTGGCAATTATTCATGAAGTCACTGAGTGACAGTTTTATAGCAATTATCATTATAACTCAGCAACCCCCCAAAACTTTCAGATCAGTAATGAGTTATGCAGCTCTTTAAAGCTGTGTATTAAACATAGGCTGGTGATTGTTTATCCATCATTTGGGGAATGTAAATGTAATATCTTTTTTTTTCCACAGAGGGAGCCATAGCCTACATTAAAGTGCAATGAACACCAGTTGGTAATGCTGTTCTCCATCCAAAGAGGCAAAGCAACGTGGTAAACTGATGTCCATTTATGAATACTCTAGACACAAGCCTAATGTATCTTTACACAATAACAACATTGTATTTTATCTAAATGTTATTATTTAAAGCTCTCTCATGAGTTTTTTATTCCATTTAACTGTGATCCAACCTTGTTTGTTTCAGCTGTATTGCAACAGTAATTGTTATCATAAATATTGTTTGTAATAGAAATGCTAAAAATAACTGATCAAACTGTAAAACACTGTGTAATTCTTTTTATATTGCAAAGGCTGTTGTTTTTCCTTGTATTTGCAATCAACTCAACAGCAGCAGCATTACACTAATAGGGATAATGTGGGCGGCTAAATTCATTCAGCTTAGCGGTTTATCAAAGCAGTGAGGTTTTGATGTGCTCTGAGGAAATCACCCATTATCTAGTGTGTGGCCCCCTCAGCCCCTGAAGCCAGGCGACAGTGGACCAGCAGGCTGTGACCCACTTCTTTTGTGCCGTCACTTTATCAGCTCAAGAGGCTTTGTTTGTAATCATTCATGATCGATGCCCCGCCCCCAACATCCTAACCTCCTCTCTACCCCTTCATCCCCCACTCACACACGGATAAACACATTGCTGTATCTTTGAGGGCTTTTACTCAGTATGTTAATTCTTTAACCTTTAACCTCAACTCATACTAATTTAAACCTAATCCTAACTGTAACCATAAAACTTAATTTATGCCCTGACCCTAAATTAGCCCCTTGATGTAGTTAGCAAGCAGTTTGGGATATTTCCCCTCACTTTTCTCCCTCTGTGGATAACTATGAAACCTACACACACGTCAATAAGCAAGATTCTGACACCCAATACATTTGATAACTTCCACCGTACTGTCTTGATCCTGGAATAAGTGAGGTCTAGCTTGCCGATGGACAATTTTGATCAGAGTTCCAATTTTAATAGCTTAGCTTCTTGGGACGAGATTCTACTACCTATAGCTCTGGAAATTAATAACAATTTTCTAAATTAGCCTGGAGCTGCAGAACTTCAGCCTGATGGCCTGTGAAGATCAGGCATAACTAACTGTTGCACATACTTGCAAAAATATACCCAAAACAAGACACACCAATACCCAAAATAGAGAATACAGAGTATGGGATATACCAAGTAAAAGTATTAATACCAGGATGTAAATATCCCAGTGAAGCCCTTGTGATTGTAAAGGAAATGTATGATATGGAAAGGCTAACGTTTTCTATAAGACTTTGGACTGATTTAACTTGTAGGTATTTTTCCAAATGGTTGTTGCGTACAGTATCAATAGTACATACAGAAAGAAAGGTAATACTTAGTATTAGGACTTTTCCCTAACATAACTTTAAGAGATTTATTTGCTCAGCAGGGTTAAAATGGGGTGTGTATGTGTATTGGCTAGTTAAATGTCATAAGACAAGTCATTTTGATTTCCTTTGAGGACTTGATGGACTAAGATTGATAGGGACTTGAGGTGATCCTTACTTGATGCCCTGCTGGTGTCTTTTAATGCCTCTCTTTCTTCTTAGGACTACTGGGAAAGTAACCACTAACACGAAGCTTAGCTAACTACTGATAACATATGAACTGTATTGTATTACCCCTGAAGACCTATGTCTTGAGTTCTCCTGTGCATTTGCATTCCACTAAAACAAAAGCTACAGTAGTAAAAGCACATAAGTAGTCTATTATCAGCTAATTGTACTAAAGTATCAGACTAAATGTAGGCCACTCCTTATTCAGAATGTCTCCTCTCCGAGTATTATACTGTATTGTTATATTATTACTGGATTATTATCTCTGACTTATTACTCTGTAAACAGCATTTCAGTGTTGAGGCTGGTGAAGGTA